ATCAAGATAAGGCTAAGATCATAAAATATTTTTATTTGCTGGCCATCTTAGAAAATGCTTAGAAATAATAGATGCTTAGATGCTTGTTGGACATCTTAGAAAATGCTTAGAAATAACTTGGCTGTCAACTTCACTATGATGGAAGTATAAAATCACAGAAGAAATATAAGCATTATATGGACTTGCCACATTATTACTGGGTTAATATTCATTATTAGTATTATATCCATATTGCTAAAATGGTTTGAGGAAGAGAGGCACTGAAGGATGGGTTGCCTGTATGTTTGTTGAACTTGCTTGGATAATTTCATTCAGTGTACTTAGCAACAGCTGAAAGAGTAATATGGTTTAAAAATGGAAAAGCAGTTTTGAAACAGATACTGTACCAAAAAATTTGGAATCTATAAATATATGAGTAAAACGAATGTACCACGTTTGTGCATAATAAAAGAGCTCACTCCTTTTTACAGTAATAAGAAGAGGTTTACATACTCTTGTGCTAAGGACATACTCTCTTATTATCCCTTTCTCTGTGTAATGGGGAAAACATGATGATTTTTATTCCAAGCGGTCAAAGTTTAAAACTTAGCTTTAAAGAAAATAGTTGCTCCCACTTCCTTTAAAATTTTTTGTCTGTGTACAATTTCTGTTTGTGTATCTCTCTCTCTCTCACCCCATCCCCCACCTCCCTCTCCTTTGGGAATATACCAGAGACATCTAGATGGGTACTCTGAGAAACAAGTAAAGAGAATCAGAGTACATTTTGATCCTTGACCAGCAGATGAGAAGGACAAAATATTCCAGTCAGTTTTAGGGAACCACTAGGGAATGCGGTGTATCAGTTCATCTAGCCTTTAAAAATTTGCTGTGAAAATGTGCTACAGGCATCAGGGAAAGAAAAGAAGAAGAAGAAAAAAAGAGCTGAACTGTACATTATGTTGAACAGCTCATTAGCTTTAAGAGATTTATGCTGCAGAGTCTACAAGAATATATTGCCTGCTTGCTGCCATGTTTACTAGCAGATAAGATGACTGGAATTGCAGACAAAATAAATGAAGGGGGCATGTAGTGTTTAGGCTATGGAATTCCAATTTCAAGGCTCCAACAAACAGGGTTCTCTATCGGTTTGAAGACATATTGTGGCTTTTATGAATATTAAGCCAAAGGAGATCTTGAGAAACCATCATAGGCAGCTTTTGCCTATGAATCTTTCCACACCTCTTATATTTATAGAAGAGCTGTTTTATGCTTGTGAATTATGTTAAAAAATAAAAAGAAAAAAGGGAGAAATTCAGCCATGTTTTTCCTCCTTAGTGTTAAAACTGTAAATCTTAAGTCAATGCACATCTGTAGGATTAGAGGAGCCATTTTTCAGATGCCATGTTGTTGACTCCTGCTAATAGTAGCTATTTTGGAATACTTAGTAAAAATTAGCAGACAGAAAGCACAGCAGTGGCAACTGTGCTAATGCATGTGTTAATTAGAGCTCGGCTGCAAAAAGACACTTGACGGTTTTAGAATTTCATTTATAGGTTTAAAAACTCCGATATTCCCAGTGTATGCACATATGGATGCACAAAGCACTGAATAGCTATCCTTTAATTGTCTGAGAATTTGGCTGGGGCACAGAAGCAAACCAATATTCTTTGTTTGTTCTTAATTTTTCCTGATTAGATTTATTTGCATTTTTTCCTCCAGGAGCTAAAAAGAGTGCACAGTTTTTTCTCTCATTTTCTCCCCCTCCTCCCCCCAACCCCTCCCCCCCAAAATCTGGAGTAGATTGGGTTTATGTGATAGTGAGTGACCCAGATTCACCCACCAAGCTTCCAAGAATACCAGCAACAATTGCAAGTGGCTTTATCAGAAACTATTTACTATTTATTACCACTTATTTCTTTCCCTCAACATGTCTATAGCGCACATTTGACTCTTGTGGTTCATAATGGACAAAGTCAAACTGAGTATGCATCTTAAACCATCTAAAAAAAAATAATCCCTACAACATGTAACAACTGAGAGCAAATATTTGGCTGTTCTTCAACAGATAAGAGCAAAATATTCCATCATGTTGTGAAGTGAGAAATTCATAGCTGTAGATGTAGGAAAACAAATGGATATGAGAATATACCTCCCCCATCTGTTCCCTCATGAAAGCCTCAAAGTAAGATTTACCTCATGAGTACATGCATTTTCGCCGTCCAATACAGTGAAACCCAATGGTTTCCCTATTCTCCACGTTTTAATAAATCAAGTGACCAAAAAGAAATAAAACCTAGATCTCTCTATTGAAGCAATCTCTGAATAAAAATAAAATAAAGTAAGGACAAGAAAGTTAAACTGACACTTCTAGTTGAAGAAATCAGCTTTGTTTTTCATGTTTATATATAGCTACTGAATAAACACAGAGATTTGACTGATTAAAATCATTTTTATGGTATTAGAACTTGGATAAACATGAAGCCCTTTCTCCATTTCCACCCCATTATTTCCCCCTCAGTTTTACTATGTTAAAATAGTTTCTTCATTTGAATTACTACCATTCTTTATCAGATCTTGTAGCCTAGATTATCATTATTATTTTTTTAGCCTGGGGTACAAATGAGCCTGGCTGGGAAATACTGAGATTACCAACATTTGCATCCACTTGGGGGTGGGGGAATGTACTAACGATACAGATTTTAGGAAAGTGATCAAACTTTTATATACAATATTGTATATTATAGTGAATATTTCAATATGTCTTTCAGTCTTGGAACACAAATATATTTTTTTTTAAAAACTAACTTGTTTCTAAGCTTTAAATGTACATATCCTAAATTATCCACATCTAGATTATTTAGAGATTTCCTTTCTCTGATGTCTAAGGTACCCTTGAAGTCATCTCTTTCTTGCAGGAAGTAAAATGGAATATAACCAGTGGGGGGGAAAAACCTGTATGTTGATAAGAAACGAAAATGAGGTCTGAATTCAGGGTGAACAAAAACTGAGCAAATCAACCTTGCAAATTCATTCTTTAACGGAAGAATTTGTTCAAAGCTTTCTGAAAATAACAAAACTCCACTGTGTTTCATGTTAGTATATGAAACTTTAAAGCACATGCTAGCGAAATCTTCAATACATCATGATTTTAAACATCCATTGTTTTCAACCAGACAATAAAATCCTGTGGGCCAACATATCTTATATAAGCTGCTTAACGGGCAACCTTTTCCAAATGAATCAAACTAGTTCTAAGCCACGGCATCTCTTAAAATACATCTGGCACATTTTGAAAAAAGAAGAAAAAGAAATTGTACCAATTTTGAATAACAGAAAAAGTCATAGGAATAATGACTTAAATAGTACCCGTTTGGCGATTTGAAACTTCTGTATCAATTTGGTTAATCAGAGAACCTAACATGCAGCTGAAAAATATCTACAAAAGAGGATATTTTATTTAAATTAATGGATGATTTAGGAAAACGTGAGGAAAGCTACACATTGAATCCACAGAATACGTAAAATGGATAATCAATGTAAAATAATTATCTTAAACTGATGAGGGGAAAAAGTCAACTACTATCTCAGTAATGGCGCCTCCTATAAGTTTCATTTTCAATTAGACCCATTACATTCTTCCTGAAGTAATCTTGTTTTGCTTCTGATTGATTTATTTCTTTTTGTCGAACTGCAGCTTGATTATTTATTATTGTTATTGTGTTTTGCTGTAAAATAGATAGTTCCCTTGCCGGTCATAATTTATTGCTCTTTCTGATGCCTTACTGTACTGTGTTCAGTTTTTAATATTGTTTTTTAGAACTTTTATACAGATATAATGCAGGGATATAACACATGTATAATAGGTATATACATATAATTTTCTCAAAATTATATTTTTATAGACCTTTATCATTGGTGGCTACTGGTAAGATAGAAAAAATGATCCAAGCTTGAGCAATCAAATCCATGATGCAGCCCCCAAATAAGTGCTGAGGTAAAAATTGGTAAATGCTAGAGTTAAGGTGGTACATTTCCCCATGTGACTACATCAGTGTTAACAGTGGACAGAGTGCTAAGATAGACTCTCCTTGTGTCTTAATGAAAAGGTGATCCTTTAAATTTAATGAACATTATACACAAAAAATCCCCATTAAAAACAAACAAACAAAAAAACCCCACCAATCCACACACAGCTATTCCATGCAGTTCATTCCAAATGTGAAAAAGAGAAATTCAGTACAAGTAAATAGAAGACAGCAATCCACATCAAAGGACAGAGCTAACATCAAAGGTCAGACATTTACTTTAGACTGAGGATACCAAAAAGCAAAAAGTAACAACAAGATGCTCTTTAAGTAAACAATAATTCTGTTTTAGGTTTTCTCTCCAAACCCTGATTACCAAATACTCTTTGAAGGCAGGTTTTAAAGCAAGGAGAAACCAAAAAACTCTCTTAACTGTTCCATCAACATGAGCATTTTCTTAATAGCCACAAGTTCATACTCTCACCAGGGAAAACCAACTAATTTTCGGTTAAATTACCAACAACATTCCCCACTGAGACCCAATGATTAAAATATGAATCTAAAACTCTTGACAAATTTCCTTTGTAAAACAAGACTGAGAAAAGAAAATGATTTGAGCTTCTGATGATTACAAGCATATAATAGATTCATCCGGTTATTGACAAGCAAGTCAATGCACATGTATATAGAAAGATTTCAAATTCTGCTGGTAAATTTTCTCATATTCGCCTCAGAGGAAATTTAGAGAATGGAAGAAGACGGTTAATAAAACACGTAATTACGGAAGCATAGTGCACCAGCAGACAGACAGGGGTTTTTTTTCAGTTGCAGAAGGTATTTAGGAATCATTTAAGAGCAAAAGATGAACGAGGTGGCCCACTTTTACAATAATGCACAAGCCCAGAAGTGGCAAGAAAAAAAAAAGAGGCGGGTAGAGATTTAAATATTAATTCAGGAGATAAATGAGAAAAATCCCTGTAAAGTGCAGTTACTTACATCGTGGCCTACAACTTCAGTCTGTGTGGATTTATCTACTTGAGAGACAAGCACACTCTGTAAATGCCGAGCTTTTTCCTGTGGAGAAAAATAAGATATATATTCCTGGTCAGTCGTGCCAAATTGATTTTCTTCACATTCTCAAAGTAACCTAACCCCCTCCTTTATCCCAAAGGGAAAATATCCCGCGTAGCAACAACTACGAGGAAAGAAGTGAGTATTTTTAAGAGAAAATGTGCTCTACTGATATTATTTTGCTACTGCAAAGTAGTTTTACGTAGATGGTAAGGTCATAAATCATAAATTGTCAACATTAAGAGGAAGTCACCATAGAGTGTCACAAAGGACCATTTTCTAGAAAAATAATGTAAGAGTTAAAAATACTTTGTAAACATCCACATGATATTCTTTGCAGATGCTAATAGAGTTTTACACACACCAAACTATCTATGGACCCTTTGTTCCATTTGTTTACCCAAGGGAAAACAAAACTGAATTAAAATTTTGAAAGACAATTGATTGTGAATTAAACATCAGGAAAAAAGATCTCCAAAAAAATGACCTACATACCATCACTTACAATGCATACTTTCTTCTATTTCAGCTTTAAATGTTTTTTTTTCCTTAAACTTAATTATAAAATTCATTAAGCACCTAAGTTTTACTGACACATTACTGAGAGATATATGAATTATTTTGTTTTTAGTTATTTGCATACGCCCATTTATAAATCTCTTGCATTCTGCCTCTATGTTAATTTACTAATTTATGTTTTACTCCATAAAATTTGCATTCTACTACAGATTTAATTATACATTTGAATGATCATCATAATAACATTTCTAAATGGACTTCCAGGAAAGAAATGGCTGAGAGGATAGCCAACAAATGCAGCAGAATGAACAGCTGGTGAGTAGACTGGCTCTTCATATTCCTCTCCAGACAGGGAGAAGACCCACAAGTGCTCCCTGTGAGGAGACTGCAAGACAATGATCTCTAGTGGTTTTAGAGTTCTGGGAGAAGAGGGAATAGCTACCTTGCTAAAACTACAAGTTTATAAACAATGGACTTTCAATAGACTTCCTTTTCTAATCACTGACAGGAAGTGTTTGTTATCTGCTTTCCAATTATTAGGAATCTTTGGATCAACAAGTTATATAAGACTGGGTGATTTTCCTTCCATTGAAGTGCAATCCAAGTTTTTTAGATCAATTTTACAAGGACTTTTCTGTATTCTGAACATGGTGCTTTTCCATGAAGCTGCTCTATTTAAAATAGAAACTTCTAACTGTATTTTCTTTTTCTCAAATTGGCTTAAGTTCCCCCTTTTTTTTTTCTTTTCTTCATCTGGCTTGGTCCCTTTAATTATGACCGATAGCCTTCAGCCTCCCTAGTGCCAGCCAATATATACCAAACTGCTACTTTTGGCTTTTCATGAGTAGCAATCATCCTGATGTGTTATGAACGCACATTAGCGGGTCTCAACCAGTGAGTCATTGATTTAGAATTGCAAGTAGATTTATCAGTTCTACCCAGAAGCATCTTTCTGAGCCACTCTGCACACTGCCTTCAATCAGCCAGATATCTCAGTTACATAACAATTCCAAAAGTTGAAAGGGTTTTATCCTTGGCCAGATTCAATGCCCTCTCACCAGTCGTCACTTTAGGGAGTTCACTCTGATCTGTTTTGTCTGAAGTTGTTATTAACAGATCAATCCGACTTTACTTCTTTCACCAGAGCTAAGTAGTGTTCTACTTTCTACTGCGCGCATATAATACACACACACACACACACACACACACACACACACACACACACATATACATATATATATATATAATATTATATAATATTATATATTATACATTATATATTATATATTATATATACACACACACCACACACACAATATTTCAAAAGACATTTCCTTTCAAAACACATATATATCTTTTTTTTTCTGAGAAAATTATATGAATATGTTGAACATCAAAACTGGCTAACTACTGATCCATGTATCAGAGTATTCTTGCTATGACTGAATCCCTCAAGCATCCTTAATATTATATGATCATTTGGAACTACTTATAGGAAATGTAATTTGACCAGCATTATTCATCCCTGGTTAATTATTTGGCATTAATTTGCAATTACCACAAAGTTCCATTAAACACACACAGGGCATAGATCCAGCAGCTGTATTCACACATGCTCGAGAAGAGGTATTTATTCTTTTGGGCTAAGTCTCACTAAGATAGCTTTATCCACTAAGGTGAATCATGAAACAATGACTCACATGTCATTCTCAATATGGCCAGAAAAGCAACAGTACAATACATGTGACCATTTCTAATGAATTTTGTGTATCACAGTGAAAGCAGATGTTTGCAATTCCAAAAGTCACAGTTGCATAATGAGCTCGATTCCATCTTGTTTTCCATCCTTACGAGTTAGCACCATCACAAATCCTTCCTATTTTTCTTCTCTCTCTCTCTCTCCCTCGCTCCCCCTTCCTTCCCCCCCTCTGTCTTTTGAACTACTGCTCCTCTTCCTGGCTATTGCATGCAGATTGCCAATTCCCTCCTGTTTAAAATGCTCTTTGTGAATACTGTGCCCCTGTATGACTTAGCAGCTGCCATATTAGTAAGTTAGATGCCAGACTCAATGACACCATGAGGATTATAAGCGGCCATATTAAAACCAATACGATTTGCTGGCTTCCTGTTCTGAGTCATAGAGCACCACCAACTTTATGAAGGCAAGGTGCACTAGTGAGAGAATACAGAAACATTATGAGCAACTCACTCCCATTTGTGAGTGCCGGCCTTTCTCATTTATCAGCTGGAAGACTCAAATCCATGAAACCCTCCACTGGCACTTGCACAACATCTGCCCAACAACTTTAACATTAATTTCCAGTGGAAAGCCAAATGGGTTGCTGAACATCAAGATATAAAAGTAAAGATTCCCCTCACACATATGTGCTAGTTGTTCCCGACTCTAGGGAGCGGTGCTCATCTCCGTTTCAAAGCCGAAGAGGCAGCACTGTCTGAAGACCTCTCTGTGGTCATGTGGCTGGCATGACTCAACGCCCAATGTGCACATAATGCTGTTACCTTCCCACCAAAGGTGGTCCCTATTTTTCTTCTTGCATTTTTTACGTGCTTTCAAACTGCTAGGTTGGCACAAGCCGGGACAAGTAACGGGAGCTCACTCTGTTACGCAGCACTAGGGATTCGAACATAGGAAGACATATAAATGACTCCACAAAAAAGGTGTCAGGCTTTGAACTACCACATCTTTTTACCAAGCCCTGCATTGTTTTACACTGTGCTTTTTGGTACTTAGTAATCATCCTAAATAAACTGTCAGGTACAAAAGATCAGATCCACACATGAACGACTAATTTAAACACTTGCCCAGAGTCACCTTGTAGAGGAGAAGCGTGACACAAAAATCAATCAATTAATTATACAATAAACTGATGTATTGCTACTCATGCTTATGCAGAGGAATCTTCTCAACTAACAGCACCGGCCAGGAGTTAGATAAAGGTCAACATAATTCAAGAGGTTGGACTTAGTTAAGAGCCATGGTGGCACAGTGGTTAGAATGTAGTATTGCAGGCTATCTCTGCCCACAACCAGGAGTTCAATCCTGACAGGCTCAAGGTTGACTCAGCCTTCCATCCTTCCAAGGTCAATAAAATGAGCACCCAGAATGTTGGGGACAATATGTTGACATTATAAACCATTCACAGAATGCTGTAGAGCTTTATCGAGCAGTATATGGAGCTGTAAAGCATTATGGAGCAGTATATAAGTCTAAGTGTTATTGCTACTTCACTTGTGGCTATGTAGAGATTCTAGGCTGATCCTTCTTTTAATTCAGACCCCAGGTTCTGCCACTCTTTCTCTTACATGATGAGAGGGGATGTAGCAAATCTGGCCAGAACTTTGCCAAGGTACTGTTTCCCTTAAGTGAAAATTGATATAACACCAAGAGTAAATCCCAACATTGCAAAGAACTGTCACTCTTCCTAACAAAGTTATTACCATTAACCATCAAATTTTCCATCTGAACTTTGGAGCACTCATTAATGGGGACATGAAAGGAATCCCCAATTGGTGTTCCCTGGGCAATAGTGATGTCACCGGTTGATTATTTAACCCTAGAAGCACCTTGGTGTTTCCAGCAAGACAACAACAACAACTTCTTTCCAATAGTTTGTCAGCTCCATGTCTTGATTTTCTAACTCCCAAGTGGGAGTTGAGCTCTGTAGCACATTTTTCAACACCCATCTATAGCTATAAAATGCAATACAACTCTTGATATCAGAATGATAGTTAATCTGGCATGAAATTTAAATTGTCTATTCTTACCATATGGAAACATATTTTTTTTCTTTTGGGAACAGATTTAGTCTGACTTTTCAGTTATCTATGTGGTTTCACATGTTCAGCAGAGCCCTTAGCATCATAAGAGTAGTCTCTACCGTGAGAAAGTACTGCTCCTTTCAATTAGATCTGGTCTGTCACTCCCATCCTCTGTCTTCCCTGAGTCTTCCTACTCCCTGGTTGACCAGGGAGCAGCCAGGGCTCAGGACCCTGGACAGCACTCCACGGTCCGGGGAGTTGGTGATTTGTTTTAAAGGAGATTCAGGTTAACGTCAGGGTTCCAAGTAACACCCACAATGAAAGAAGACTCTGAGGTTTGGATTTCCTCAAAGTTACATCTTATGAGAGATGTCGTATTGGCACATCTGGGGAAACCCGAATCTGAAAGCTTCCAGAGTTTCCCCATCCAAAGGAAAGTTCAAGTCCCTGCCCAATACCCACAAGTCCATCACATGGTCCAATTACAGCACGGTCCCAACTGGACAGGCCACCCAATTCCAGCCTCCCAGGTGCAGGGCAAAATGGCCTTGACTTTCTGAGAAAGGAATGTTATTATGACTACCTATCACCCACACTCCATACAATCCCCCCTCCCAGTTTCCTACACTAGGAAACATGGCAGGCCTGAAAGGCACAATGACAGAAATGGCTTCTAGGCCTGACAGGGCCATTCTATGGACCCT